AGCAACATGGAAAGTGGATTATTCATCCATGCAGCAGTTTTCGGTAGGTTATATAATGCGGGTGTACCAAATCCACCAAGCTTAAAAGTGCCTATTAACTTGATTTGATGCCAGTTTTTACTCACTCCGAAAATGCTTCACAGGTTCAAATTATCGCTGGGTGCAATCAACCTCAACAAGTACGCCAACGCATAGAAGGACTTCAAAGCCTTTCTTTTTATGAATGTTTACTTTCTTATCTGCAGTAATTTGTTCTCCACAATATTTTGTCAAATCGAGAGTTTTCGACTGGCGGACATTCAAAGGCTTTCATTTCAGTCGATGATTATGTCATGGCAGAACGATGTTTGAGGTGCGGTGCAGATTAATTAATGCAATGAAATATGCTTTACTGTACCACAAAATCGCATCGAATGCACCTCTTTTTAAAAACACTATTATTGCTTGGTTAGAAATGAGCAATGGCTAATTTACCTAACATGTGTGGCATTTGGTGGTGAATGGCGACTGGTTGGCATTGAGGCGAAATCTTAGCAGATCAGTACTAACAAAAGTATAATAGCTTGTGAATTGTATTTGACCCTTGTTGTTAAACATGATATTGGGGTGTCGAAAATTTTGTGAATTTGCACAGTCAAGTTGTTACATGAGCAAAAGGAAAATGAATAGATATTGAGTACAACAGAAGGCCATGTTGCCTGCGGGGGAAATGCGTAGTCCTTTTTGCTGCATCACAAGTTTATATTTTGAAAACCACTCGCACTTAGTCTGTTGGGAAAAAACTCGAAGTAAATGTAAAAATGGTTTGTAAAAGTTTCCCCCTTCATCTTCGATTGGATTGAGTGGACTACGATGCGGTTGAAATAAAACTCGGCACCTCAAAAGTGATTACACTCAAGCTGAGGTAGCATGTGAAACGGGTGGAAGGGAACGACGCCCCCAACATGTGTACATTGACTGCCTCAGGGTCACTGATTTCGAAGACTTTTTTTTTTATTTAAATGTGACAGCAGGAAGTCGTGTTTCGTTTTGTTACTTTCTACTTCTGTCTTTTCAAAAGTGACAATTATGAAGCGATCAACCTAGTTGAACTAGATTTATGAATATATTTAAAGTAGACTCACACCCTCACTGCTGTCCAGTAAGAGCGGTACGGTTCATAATTGTTTTTCATGTCAAAAGCCAAATATGACATTTTTAGTTTCCTGAATCTTGATTTAATTCCATTGACTTATGCCATCTTGAAGCAGCAGCTACAGTGGAATTGGTAATGTGTGAAGATTAGTTTCAGACAGTAGGAAGAATGCGCATAGCTTGATGGAGTGACAGCTGATGCCCCTAAGATCTCGCACTTTTAATTACCAAAAGTTTCAAGTGCTCAGCATTCCGAAAATCCAAGATATTGCTCACCAGTGGATCTTAGCATCTTGTTAGACTTTCAGAAGCTGCAGCACTTAGTGGCGATCTGCTTTGTCGGTGTACGGAATGGTTGGGGCTACCGACATGGTCTGCAGACCGTACAATGGCAGTGTCCGTTAGTGCTTGCAGATTGCTCGGTGGGAGGCAAAAACAAATGATATAATATTCGCAAATAAAAATTTGCTGAGTTGCAACATTGAGGAAGTGTTTTTTGGAATAATTAATAAGTTGGGCGTACTTTCTCAGGCTATTTTGAATTTTGCAAGATCCAGTGTTACAGAATATTTATCCTACTTTCAGATTCTATTGGGATCTCTTAATGCTCACCCTCCTGATTGCCAACCTCATTATCCTTCCTGTTGCAATCTCGTTTTTTTATGATGACCTTCGAGCTCACTGGATCGTTTTCAACTCTGTCTCTGATGCCGTTTTCATAGCAGACATCGCCGTTAAATTTCGTACAGGTATGCATGATAACCATCTACTTATCCATTTTAAAAATGCTTTTGCTTGAACAGGAGTGAGTCAGTGTTTTCTCTGTGTTTTGTTCTCTAATGTTTTTCTTGCAACGACTGTCAGAAAAGACTGCTCTGTTACTGATGCCCTTAGCCTGGGCTCATTGCTGTCACTAGGTATAATTACCAACGACTACGCAGACGAAATTATCCTTGATCCCAAGGAGATCGCTCGTCAATATGTTCGCTCCTGGTTTTTGCTGGATCTCATCAGCTCAATTCCCATGGATTACATATTTTGGGTGCTCAACAAGCATGAAAATTACAACCAAATCCTTACTGCAGGTACGCCCATCTGCACGTCTAACATCTGTCTTGAGGCGCCTGTGATACTCACCTTCTTAGCTTCATTTGTAATTCGCAAGGTTCCTCACAATTTCCGAAAACCACATAAGTTTCTCAATCTCACTCTCCTTCACCTTACTTTTAGTGATAATATTTAAGCAGCAGAAGCGGATAGAAAATACCTCCGAACTGAACTGCAATGGCTAGCATAAATCACTTTAGCAACTGTCACAATAAGTTAAAATATCGAGTCCAACAGAATCGCTGTGTTTGCTGTGTTAATGTGCGTCTTAAATTAATTCTTCGTGACTTCAAGGACGTACGTTGCGCATACTACGGTTGGCCAAGTTACTCAGCATGCTTCGACTTCTTCGGCTCACGAGGCTTGTTCGATACGTCAGTCAGTGGGAGGAGGTAATTGACCATTTCATGAACGCTTTATTTTATGTCTTGGTGCTTTGTCCCTTTTTGTTGGCACATTCTATGAAAAACATCAATTCAAACTTCGGTAGGAGGGTGTCGATAAGTTATCCACGGGAAGGCACTTCTTTGCCGTTCATCGTGATAACACGTACATATGACAATCACACACAGATAAATTTGCGTCTACAAATAAGCACGTACTTCATTTGGTCATGTGCATTTGCATTCCAATCAAGATTTCACTATCTCCATTTTAGTACAGGTGGGTAGGTGGTGCCTATGCTTTCGTGGTTGTAGCTGCTGCTTTCCCTACGCCATCGGAAATCAAGTGTGCAACTGTCAATTTAAGAGAGGGCATAAACTTTTCTTGAGAAAATTGAAACGCAAAGTATGGCAACTTTTCCTCGTCAACTGTAATGGTGTTTTGTGTTGTTTTTGCTAAAATTAATTTAGCAGTATTGGTGCAGACCATTTTTGAGTCAAACCTGTCCAATGCATGTGCACTGTCTGCATTGTTGGTGAATGCACGCATGACTTGACCACAACACCTTTTTTGCAGTTTCTCAACATTGCAAGTAAATTTATGGGCATCTTCAATCTCGTTCTACTGATGCTATTACTTGGACACTGGAACGCATGTCTACAATTCCTTATCCCACTTCTCATGGACTACCCAGAGGATTCGTGGGTCCAACGCTGCAGGCTAAAGGTACACCGATTTTTTTTCAGCTTCAATATAAACCCTTGTATCAGTTGCATACCACAACGAGAATTAGTAAATCGAGCAAACATTCTTCCCCAAAGGTTAGCTTTGTGGACACAGAGATGTACCATGCCATCAGCGTTAAGTAAACTCCCTCCTACAGAAAGTGGAGGACGTGCAATTACATGGCACTTATTTGTTGATCAGCTCAGTAATGGATTAAAAAAGGAACTTCCAAAGGCGACTAGCTTGTCTTATCAACTGATAGAGCACTACCTCAAGTGAGTTGAATGTGCTTGTGAGAAGCAAACGTAGTACTCAGAACGCGAGTTCCCCCTTCCTTCCCTAAACCCTACATTAACTTCCACCCATTAAGTCTTCCTGCTGATCCGTTGTGCACTACCATCCTCGGTGAGTGGGAAACTGCACAAATGTGTGTATGTTCAAAAAATCTGAATACTTTGTAACGTGGAGCGGGAAAGGAGCAATTTTTTTCACGTCAATCATTCTTACCTCGCCAACCTTGAAAGGTTTGATGCAGAGACATTGCTTGACTTTTGCACGTTACTTGGAGGAGCTGATGTAACTGCAAAATGAACTTTCTCGCTGTCAAATTAGCAAAATGTCTGTATTTAGTTATGGCTTGAAAAAAAGGCCTATTGAAGAACTGCTTTGACACCAGCGACATTTTTATGGTTTGAGTAGTCATCAGGGCAAGGAAGCTTGAGATAAAAACCAACGGCTTGCTAAAGTAATCATTCTAGAAGTTTAATGGTTTGATAGTAGATGGTGGCACGAAAATACCGCCGCTAGCAATGACAATGTGGATACTATTTGCAATGGAATATTGGGAACTTGGGAAAGAAAGTGGGGATTTGCGTTTGCTGTAGTTTAGCGCCTAGCACGTATTGCAATATGGAAGTTGAGGGCTGAAGTTTGTGACCAAAGTTGATAGGCTAGCAAAAAACGGTGCAGATGCATTTACAAATGTATCGGTGTTTGTTATCAAAATCACTTAGGCAAATAATTTAGGCTTGTTGGCATTTTAGCTCTCTGTTGCTGTTGCATTGACCTCGATAAAATCTACGCAACAAGTTGCCCTTCACTTCTGTCGATGCAAGTGATGTGTATTAAAGTAGTTTCAGAAGCTCACTTAGTAACACCCTGTCCAAGGGGAAGATGCAGTGGTATGGGTCTGAAAACATGCCTGAGGAATGCCGAGTGCTGACATCTCAACCCATTCATACGCTTTATTTAGTGTGTGATACAAGCGGTTCTACTTTATGGTCTTAATGAATGGGATAGTGGTGCTCATCTTCTATTGTCTTTTGGGAAACAATGCTACTTCGGTGAGATGTGCCGGAACTGGGCTCTTCATTACAAAAGTGTGAAGTAGGTACATAAATGCAAGCCAAACATACACAAACGCTGATTTCCATAACGATTTGCACGATTCGAATTGGTATCCCCGTCCTCAAGTCAGACATCTTAGTAAGGGCTTATAATGGAGCACTTTAAAATCCACCAGACAGTGGCCTATTGATTTAAAGGAGTAGACAGTTATTTAAGAAAGTGGTTCACTCCACCGTCTAGTCTGATTTGTACCAATGCTGACTGTGATTCCTCATTTAAAGGGACAATGCGAATTGTTTGAGTCCCACACACACTAGACATCAGTAATATAAAGGGAAAAACAAGCAGACATTTTTACGTGGGCAACACTTAACGCAAAAGTGAAGCGAGAAGTGCATAAGAAAGCGCTACGGGACTGATAAAGCAGCAACTGCCAAATTATGCGATGCCACGTAGCATTGTTGCAACGCAAGTACGTGTCAACATTTCAATGCACGTTTGGTTTGACACTTGGTTTGAGGTAGTAGAAATGCCTACTTTTCAAGGCTTCAAGCGAACTGCTCCCAAGGCTCGCTTCGTAAGAGCGTTTTTACGAAATGTTGTTCCTAAGAAAATGTGAGCGCGCAGACCTCAACGCAGTGAACCTTTGACTGAGCTCCAAAGTTTGTGCAACCAAATAAATGGCAGTTTAAACAAACTAGTCTTTGCTTTAACTCTATAGCATTTCAGTCTTAATCAGTTTTTCAAGTACTTTCATTTGCGCTTAACAAAAGACCTCTTTCGCCTTGGAATATGTGACGATGAGGGTGCAACAGTGCATGAATGCAAATGAAGTTAATTAAGAGAAGTAAGGACCTAAATTAGATGGTTACTTGGTATTTTTGGGCCTACTTAAGTCCTCAACAAATTACACAGATTCCGTTAATTACATAGATCTTCCCAAGATATAACTAATTGTAAGTGAAGTTTGCGTAATCTCTTATTTGCTGTCTGTAAGGTTTCGTTGACTGTTTTTGAGTAATGACAGGCACAAGAAATAGTCTTCATGAAACACTTAATTTGCATTGCAGTCTTTACTGAACTAACGAAATTTACCTTCTGGTCATGCACAAGAGCTGAGCACCAATTGTTTGTGTATCGAAAAACAGGAAGACGTTCCACGTAAGGTGGGAATTTTTTTGAAGAGGGACGCTGAGCATTGGCTGAGGAGGAGGTGGGGAAAACTTTTTTTCGTGTTTTTCTCTCACTTAAAGCATCGAGCGCACCTCGCCTGCTGAACAAACGCCACGCCACGCCACGCCACTTTTTTCCTCTACGATGCTTTTCTTGATTATACATGAGTAATTTAAATATTTCAACTTTTGTTTTAGCGATGTATGCAATGCAATAGGAGTCTTGGTTCAAATGGATCAAAACTTTGTATAATTAAAAATGTTAACACTCTTTCACAACAAGGCCTTTCAATTCAAAACACACGGTTTGATTTCACTTTTCTTCTTGCTGCTTAATTCGAAGTGTTGCTGCTCACCTTCTACCAAATAACGTCGATGCAGCGGTACATGCACGTAAAATGTCAATCCCGAGAGTTGTTGTTGTCCCATCAGTGCACCTTCACATCGCGGGTGATGTTAAGTAGACCGTAAAGCGGTGCAATGGTTGCAAGCCTGTAAGCATTTTATTTTACATAAAAGTGGCGACTCTTATGTCACTAGCTGGTTATTTCATGCTTTTCGTTTACTACTAACATTTTAAATCCTCGCTCTGAATGGACCGATTGAGTTTTTTAGTGACTTAATTCCTCACCCAACGAGTGATGGCGACAAAGTGGGGATTTTTATAAAAAAAATTGTACTTGAAGACTTTGGAAACAGTTTCGATGATACTATATCCATCTCATTTAGCTGTCTACTCTCTTACTGCTCTGCAGAATTTCCACTTTTAACTATCAACAGCTAATTTCTTTAGTAGTACCGATCTGTTTGGAGCTGTAGCTTTGCTGAATATCACAAAGATGAAAAAAATGACTGCAAAGAAACCAGCTAGACTTCAGCATTGGCAGTTATCGACAACGATAATATGCGGTCATCAAAAGTGTCATCTCTAGACTTGAATTGGACCACTTGCTTTGATTAGAAGGTTTCCGCACAAATTGTTGCCGTGGAATGATTGGAAAATAAGGAACTTTTACATGTGCACTGAGTGTGACTGCAGAACGTCGGGAAGGTTACTTTCTTGAGGTCACAATGCTTTGCCCAAAAGGAAAGATCACGCAGTTGATGGAGTTGGGTGAGGACCTGGATCTACCACTGTCACAGACATTGGCATTGGGATCAAGCAAAGGAACACACAGATCACGTTATTTAAAAGGATACCAACCACCTCAATGAGGAAAATTCGCAACCACTTTGCCTTTGGTTGCACAACTTTAGGCGTTCCTGACAAGTAAGCTTATTGCAAAGCCTTACATTGAATCGCAGTCCGGTTGCGGTGAATACAAAGCCCGAAGCGCGATCACTGTTGGCGCGCTGCCGACCACCAGACACCCAATTAAGTAAATTGTCTTGACGCAGACTGCACCGAAATTCTAAACTGATAGTTGCTAAGCGTAAGCTTAAATGGACAAATGATTTTTCTTCTGATGGCAAAGTTGATGTATCATGGGGAACAAAAATAATCGTCACTTTGCATTTTTTCGCACACAAATGCAAATCTTGCTTTAGAGGAGTCGGCAGCGGGAAATTTGGCCACAGGGACAGTTTTTCTTTCCATAGTCTTATGTGCCCTATTCGTCTCTGTTCTGCTGAATAATACGGCAGCCAATCATTAACTCCGCGAAATGGGTCCCCATGGCTACTCAGAAGGTTGATGAGAGAATCGTGGAAGTGAAGTGAAAAATAGACGTTTCTGGTCACGGAAAAAGGCAATTTTTCGCCAAACCTAAAGTTCATACCTCTCGTTTCCCACCCTATGTCAAAAGGGAGCCTATTTTCTAGAATGGTTTGGTATCAAGGCTAGTTTTATGCGAGAAAGAGTTCAGAAAGTTGAAAGAATGTGAAATGCCGTTGTTTTTTTAAAAAGCACACAGAAGCGATACAAATTTGGAGGATCAGCAAGAGCAAAATTACGGTACGGTCTAAACCGCGTGAAGAGGCCAGGGCGTTTGCAAATGTTAATTGAGAAATCACCGTCGTCTGACTCTCACTTAACAGTTTTTTAAGACACTGCTTTTCCCAGGGTGAGTTATTTGGCATAAGGTGGAAAGTAAAGGGACAGGGTACAGAAAGCTGGAGAGTGTTTCCTCTCGCTGCAGGGCCGAGTCAGCTGCCTCCTTCAGAACCGCGTTCGACACCGAATTCCTGTCTCTGATCTCTCAACTGCACTTAACCAAGTCCATGTATACAACACAGCCCCATTTATTTCCTCTGTTGATGAGAAGAAGTGAAAGCAGATTCGTGTTATTTCAGTGCCATCAAGTTGACAAAGTGTCAAATACTGACTTCCTATATTGTAAGCTAGAAGCGCTTAAATTACTTATTACCCCACTTCATTGTTTTTTTTTCAATCATTCAGCAGGCTTTACTGGAAGGTAGACCGTTGAGGTAAACGAGATGCATCAACAAATGCAAAGTGTCAAATAGAAGTTGTAAGTGGAAGATTGCTTAAGCCTCACCATTCCTCAAGTTGTGAGGATTTGCCCTCCTACATGCCTTAACTCTTCGCTTTTAAAGCAATACGCGTGTAGTGAAGACAATTAAAGTGGACACTTCTTATTTGGCCTTATTCGACTCTCAGCCTCTGTGATGATTTCTAGCATTTTGCCTCAGTAAAAAACCATGAAATATAATGGTTCAATGCAAGGAAGGTGAATTTGGAGCGTCAATTTTGTCAGTTTACGATGAATGAGGTAGCGCACGCATGTTTCCGTACAAATGTGGCGATCGTTCCTCCACTTTTAAGTACCAAAACGTCTATTCAAACGGTTGCAAAGGCGGCATTGTAGTGCCACACTTTAACCTATTTTTTGCCATCAATTGCAACTCTGATTTCATGCCACGCCTCTGGTTTGTGATGGGCACATCCACAAATCAGGCATCAAACTTAGCCTCTACTGCCTTCTGAATGTGCCATTTCTACATCTAAGAATACGAAACTATCTACCATTCATTCTCGATCGTGTGATCAAACCATATTTCTACGCAATGTTTAATTTCAGCGTTTTAAAGCAAGCATTTGTTACCGGTCTTTTACAAAGCATGCTTTCTGCACTGAAGGACGCAGACTGGTTTGAGCAGTACACCTGGGCGCTGTTCAAAGCCATGTCCCATATGCTCTCCATTGGTTATGGGCGCTTTCCGCCGACCAGCATCAGCGAGGCCTGGATCACCATCGTCAGCATGATGACCGGAGCCACCTGCTATGCCCTCTTCGTGGGTCACGCTGCCGCTCTCATCCAGTCCTTCGATACTTCAAAACGCCTCTATCGCGAAAAAGTGAGTCTACATTATTGAATTGTACTACAAGGATCTAGAATGGCAATTGACAATTAAAATCTAAACTATTTACAAGTTCCGCATGGTATGAATTATTATTCACTCCTCTCCAACTCTATTCATTCCCTTCTCATTAGATATGTCACAAATATATTTCCGCTTAGGTAATAAATTAGCGGTGTCACAAACGTTATTTCAGTGGCATACGTGTCTAGGTAGTTAAAGGGAAGCACAGAAAAAGAAGCACTCCGTCCATCTTTCCTCTCACTGAAGTGGTCTTCATTAGACAGGTTAGCTGTAGGTGATAGCGCATCTTTTTTGGTGAATTAGTCCTTAGTTCTTTACTTGCTTTTTTTATTGTATTAAAGTAAATACGACAGTTTGTAGTTTGCTTATAGTGGTGCTAAAAGCTGAGATGGTCGTCTCTGTAATTTTTAGGCTTGCAGAAGAACTTTGTAGTTAGACGTATTTCTCTACCACTTCCGTACATAGGCAAAGCTTCTGTCTGGGGGGGGGGTCTGTCGCTTGCGTGCACTTTGTCTGGGAATCAGTGGTAGAAGTAGAAGGACCGAATTAAACGAGTTTTGGTTTGAAAATGAATGTGTAAGTGGATGTGAAAAGTCACGAGTGAATCCACGAAACACAAAAAAATGCCTTCACATGGTAAAGTTCCAAATATCTCTAGACTGACTACGTTTTATATTAATTTCGCAAAATAGTTGAGGTTCTCGGTCGTTGCGGTTCCCTCGCAAGTACCCACACCACTTAAAAAAGTCACAGTGGACTTGTTTATATTAATGATTGGCTTGTCTTATAAGCGTCATTAAGTGAATATGTTTTTAATATTTCAATAAGTGCGTTTTATGGTAAGTCTAAACACCAAAGTTGAATGAAAGTGCTTTTAAGGCAAAAGACCCGGTGTCCGCATAGTATTTGCGCCAAAAGCGAAATTTCTAGTGCTGCATTATGTTAAAGCATAGTTGCTCGTTTTTGCATAGATTACTTTCTGGATGCTGACCCTGGTTTGGTAACTCTTTGACAGCATGCTAAACTTAAGTGCATGGCACGAAGTTCACTTGTTTTAAGCTGAAAACGCTCGGATTTGCTCCGATGTTGCATCTGTTAGATGCGTTGCAATGAATGAAATTCCAAGTTTGCTGTAGACGAAATCCACTTGTAGGCCCTTCTGTGCTTACCGGCCTTTTGTGCAGTAAAACAAATCACCTAAGAGGAGTCCTTTGGGAGTGTTTAAAGGCGCTCCAACAAATGAACACGTGACATCTACCGAACATCTTAGTTGTTGAGTAACGGATGAAGGGACTCACCACTGGAAATTAAGTCCTTACTCCTTTTAGCATCGTTGACATTTCCAGTGCTTTGCGCTCATGCTGCAATCTACCCATTTTCATTGTCCGCCCAACGGATTCGTTTTACAGCCAAGTGTCACTCCTTCTTGTATACCTTAAAGAAATTACGTTGATAATTTTTGCGTGAGGCTTTGATTAAAATTTTGGCTGGAAGTGCACAATTAATTGCACCATTTCGAAGTATCAGCACCGGCAACACAGACACTCCACGAAGTTCCATTTTGATCTCGTTCAAGAAAGTTCCAAAGGCGCCCTTTGATGCCTTCCATAAAATTAGCATAAAGAGCAGAAAAAATTACAAAATGAACAGTTTTATTGCAAAACAGTGAAGCACTGCCTGGAATGGTTGACTAGTGAATGATCTCTCTGAATGTAAATGGGTTACGACAATAAATTGTTCAAACACAGCATAAAGAAGAAACTGAGTTGAGGTGGAAAAGGGTGGGCAGCAGAAGGAACAGGACATACACGCAGATGCATGGGGCCCGCGAAACCGTGCTTAGTTAAGTTTAAGTGCGTTAACCATTTCGGTCGCACCAAAATGCACAGTCAGGCTTTCGTCCCACCATTAAGTTCGCCTGTAAAGTGTCAACGGATTTCCCTTGAAAGTTTGCAGAAATTTTGCGGCAAAAGTAGTTATTTGGTAGAAAAAATTGATGTAGTGTTTGCGTGAGAAAAGAGCGTTTCAGGGGTTTTGATGATGCTCGAAGAAGACAAGCATTAACACGCCACTGCTTTTGCGTGACCCCGTGCTATTACACAGTGGGCAATCAAACTAACCACACACAAATCAGCTCTGAACAGTATTTAAGGCTTAACCCACGAGGATAATGCCAGGTAAAATGTACGCACAACTGCATACCTGTTCTACTTTTACGTTCTAGTTCAAGCAAGTTGAGGAGTACATGGCCTACCGCAAGTTGCCCCGAGCCCTCAGGCAGCGCATCGCCGACTACTACGAGCACAGGTATCAGGGAAAAATGTTCGATGAAGCACAGATTCTGCAGGAGCTCTCCGAATGCCTGAGAGAGGTAGGTCCTGAACATGCTGGTCTCAGTATTTTGAAATTTTTGGCACCTATTTCACAAATGCTATTTACTAAATTGCTCAACCTTATCGTTTTCCCTTCTTGAAATTCTCGATACATTCTTGGCTTTGATTGCCATGTTTCTGCTCACATCTCTTTTTTAAATTTATTTCATAAAGTCATTACCGTCTGGGTTGTAAGGTGGGGCGGGGGGGGGAGAGACATCGCTTCCGATTTCGGCACAATTTAGCTTCAAAATGTATTGTAAAGCCAGCTGGTGACGAAAGTTGACCCATAAGCACGCAACAGAGAACTGTTTGCCAAGCGTGTGATGGGACTCTAAAATTGTAGATGTCGTTTGCGGCTCACAATTGCTCCGTAAATTTGGCCACTGTAATTTGTGGACTCAAGGATTGCTTGAACTGTGGATAAGGGAAAGTGATTAAATTTTGCACCACCGTTGTTTTACAGTCTTTTATATGCTATCAAAGGTGAAAAGAAAAGGAATGAGTGAGCGGTAGAATGAGTACAGCAGTGACTGACATTTTTTTCGTTTAGTGAATTGTTTAGCGTTGATGTGATGTCTAGAATGTTAACTGAATTGGAGTCGTCAAAGTCAGCAACGGAAAATTTTTGGCAAAAGCAACCACAAAGGTGGAGATTTTGAAACAGACATATTTATTTCTAGGCGGAAAATGTATCAGAAGTGGTTGGGTAATAATACAACCCATGTTGATCATTGAAAATGGTTTTCTTTCCGCCAGTAACGAAATCGGGAATTCAAACTGCGAATGGCACTCCGAAATGAGTTTTAGAAGGAATAGAGTGCATCATTGCCACAAGACATGGAGGAAGGAAGCAAGAGTTGGCAGTTACAGCTTGCTTCTCGGAGCCTACGGCGAGAGCAAGCATTTATGTTTCCACCTGTCGCAACAAGGCAACATGGCCCACCGACTAAGCACGAAGTTGTGTACACGCATCTGGTCAAACCAAGCCAAGTTAATATGCAAATCGTTCTGTTGGTGAACCTCTTTATAAATATTTTATGAGAGAATTGGAAATCCACATTCAACTGTGTTTCGAAATTAAGCTGCGTAGTTGAAATTCGTGGCTCAAACAACTCCGTCACTTCTTTGCATGTATGGTTTAACAAAGCACTCTTTGAAGTGAATTAATGGTTCATTTCAAACAAAAAACTATCAAACGGTGGTTTTTCCTTTTGGCTAAAAGCATTGAGTAAATTTAGGCCATCGCAATGTTGCATACGCTCATGATTTGTACTGACTTGCATCCAACGTTCTGCATCCTTTAAATAAGCGAAAATGTTAATAAGCACCCACTCACTGGGCATCGCCCTAAAATTTGCAGACCAAAAAGCCTAATTCTAATGCTCCCAGGAGAAAAATTCTAGGGTTTTGTGCATTTGTAGCAAATTATCAATTACAACTGCCGAGAACTCGTAGCGGCTGTGCCCTTCTTCACCTACGCTGACCAGGACTTTGTGTCCGAGATGGTAGCGAACCTGAAATTTGAAGTCTTTCAACCTGGTGACTTAATCATTAAGGAGGGCACAATCGGCACGAAGATGTACTTCATACAGGAGGGTATTGTCGACATCATCACCAAAGATGGGGAGATCGCAACCACTCTCTCCGATGGCTCATATTTCGGTGGTAAGTCTAACGTTGTTAAATTCAAGTCAAATTTAAGCTATATTTTTCATTAGAGGCTTAACTTCAACGCTGGAAGAGGTTCGCTTATAACCTTCTTCATTTGGGCTTTGTGTGTAATATTTTTTCAAATTTTAGAAACAAATCGTCTTGCTTTGTGCATGCATTTTGAGGTTTTGCAATCCTTGTGGAAGGGACTTAATACTTCTGCATAATCCAGTACTGAGCGGTTAAAGTTGTCACATGTTTTGTGAGGTCTTGTTGCTGAGCTTGCACGAACTACGCGAGTTTTTGCCTGCACGGCCTACACTCTGTGAGGGAAGCCCACTCTGCGGTTGATCGCTGCCTAAAACGCTCGCATCAAACCGGTCCATTATGTACAGCAGGCCTCCACTATCACAGTGTTGGATTTGTTTTTCGCTTTGGTCTGTGAATCATATTGGATGAACAAAGCGCTAATGCATTTTCCTGATCTCAGTTACCTTTTAATAACAGTTGCAGTTGCTAAAACACTGGAGAGCTGTGAGCGAATGAAGTTGCCTATTTTAGTAATATTGAGGACCTGTCTTGACATGCTCATGTCATCAAGGAAACTCAAAACGAAAAAAGGTTTTTCCTGTCCCCATGAAATCTCCTTTTTTTAGGCGGAATAAACTTTCCCGTTTCTAAGGCAGTACTGTCTTTTGAGACGCGTGAGGAGAGTAAACAGACAGCAGGTTTTAATGCACCACACTTGTAATTATGTTTGTGTCACCATTTAGGTGCTGTGTGAACACTTGCGGTCATCAAACGAATTTAATGGCAATGTTAGAGGCTGGAGGCTTTCTAATGCTGAATAGTAAGCCTTGCCAAGCAAGATTGAAATAGTGGGGTTGTAATATGAAGCATTAAGTCATTTTTATTTACCAAATCTACTGCAAATTTCCTTTTTTTTCAGAAATCTGTCTCTTGACTAACGCAAAACGCGTAGCCAGTGTACGCGCGGAGGTTTATTCGAACCTTTACTCCCTGGATCGAGACAGTTTTCTGGCTGTTCTTGACAATTATCCTCTCATGCGTCGCACGATGGAGTCTGTGGCGGCCGAGCGCCTGAGCAAGATTGGGCAAAACCCCGCCATTGTGAGCACACGTGCAGATCTAAAGGCCGATCTTAGTCTAGTAAAGGAAATCGTCAGTTCTGTTGTTGAGTCTGACGATAACTCAGGCAGTAGTAGCGACGACAGTGAAGGTGGAAGGAAGGATAGGGAAGAGAGAGCAATGGACAGAATTCGCAGGGTAATTCAAATAGGGAAATCTCGAAAGAAAACGTTGGCCTCTGAGGAACAGACAGACGCAACTATGGTGATTGAAAGACATGGCTCTCTTAATGGATCAAAGTACCTCACCGTTCCAAAGGGCGATCCATCACGGAAACGATCTCACAATCGCGTATTTGGAATTGGTTCGGGTGTATCAAAGTTGTTTAAGCGTGGTGGTGTGTTTGGTGAACATACAGATAATGAGAGTGAGGCTTATTTATCGTGGGATAGGGCTCGGCAGCAGAGGTTTACACGGCTTCGTTCGTCGATCCAGCCTACGATGGAATGTACGCCTCTTCATCGAGATGATAAAAAGCACTCCCTAAATATTGCGGCACCACACATCCATGAAACCTTGCATTTGCTTGGAACTGAAGAAACCGTCCCCGAATCCCTCATCATTGACCCAGATCCCACCGACCATGACACGTCCTCGCCTTCCTCCCTCCCTCTTCCTTGCCGTCCTCCTCCCCCTCCCTCTCCTCCGTTACCACCTCCTTCGAAGCCGCGATCACCATCGGCTTCAGAATCACCTGCAAAAGACCTGTGTGATTCTCCAACAAAATGAGTAAACAGGGTGAGGCAATTACCTGCATTTAATCAGACCGCATAACTCTCAGCATAGTTGTGATAAGATCAACGTATGTCCCAAACATCATTTTCCCATGCATTTCAAGCTCCGCAAAGACTAGCATGTCACAGAACTATCCACACCCCCAATCGTGTTCATATCTACTGTACTCTTCGCATTTGTGTATAACAAGAGTTTATTTATGTGCGTGTGTGTGTGTGTGTGTAGGGATTTGAGTTGCTAGATGCACAAATAAATTTCTACTTACGCTATGCACCTATTCAGTGTCAAAATTTTTATATTGCCCCAATCTTAGCCACCTACTGTTTGTGGGAAAGAGAAATGAACGGGTCTTGAGAAGGAATAAGCGTTTCCAAATGTTGAATGGGAGCATGAAAATAAGCACACGGTAATTAACACGTCCTGCACTTAGTTAGCAAGGCTTAGATTTTAAACAATTTAGTGCATGTGGAACCGAGAAGCGTTTTCCTCCATCTTCTCGCTTGCTCATACCATCTCATAAGAAGGGGTTTGTGATCCATCAAACCGTAGCCCAAACGACACGGCATGGGGAGTTTTACGGCTAGCAGATGCACACAAGATTGCAGTCGGAGGCAGCTCGTAGGAAGCTCAATCGCTGCTCGTGCAAAAGCCACGCCTCGAGTTGAGCATGCGGCACATTGCGTCCCTCTCGAAGTGACTCACAGCTGCGAGCACTTCGTGCTGATGCGTGGGCAAACCTCAATTTCCATAAGGACGTAAATTTTAAAGTAACCTTTTTTGCGAGTTGGATCAGGTGAATAAAGCATTGGTAGGCGAAGTTTATCAACATACAGAGCTCTAGCTCGTTACCCTTAACTAGCGCTAATAAGGGAAAAGCAAATAATTGTGTGCAAAGCTGTTCACTTTGATGCAAAAATAAGAAGTGCTAGATCCACAATGCGAAAATTTTATAACCCATTTTTCGAACAGGACTGCTTCGTCTGCAAAGGCGGGTTTAGTCATCAATGTTAATGGCTATTTTGCCTTTCTTATTGGTGTATTTTTGGCCTCTCTTTGTCTTTGTTGTTTGAGGCTGGTTTCATTGCGAATTCAAGCTTACTTCATTCACATTCAGTGATCTGTTCAACCTCTGATTATAAGATGTCTTTTGCGAATTTTAGCCTCTCGGCAGCTGTGAACGATTACTTTGACACATTAGGAATTTGTGCGCAAAAAATGACAATCGTTTGCTAATCGAGGTCGTCAAGTTACTCCATCAATCGTGAAAGGCTGCCACTTCCAAGTGGAACGCGTTGCTCACCATCCGAAAGTAAGAATGACGGCAAACAGTTCAATGAGTTCGATGCAGTAAGGACTACGACAACAATCACGAAAACCATTTTGTGTCACTGCTGACACTGTGACACACAGTAAAGGAGGAAACGTTGTGAGATGAATGAAACCGGCATTTTATTTTACACACAACCCCAAATTTTATACAAAAATTGAACTTTATGCAAGAAATCCAAACCAAATTGTATGCAAATTTAAGGAAATGCCGAGTCAAAGCCAAAGTTTAGAGATCTGTGCAAAATGTTAACTTACTCGAATGTTAATAAGCCTTTTGGGGAGTTTATTTTTCTTTATAAACACCAGACCAGTCAGTCGAAAGCATGTTGTTCTCATGAATAGGGTTTAGAAAACGCTGCAGCCTCCCTGAATGTTGCAGGCGAACAGACTCCATCCATCCACTGTGGAGGAACGTCAGCACCTGACTGAATGTTCGCAACTGCTGAGAAGTAATGCTTCGGCTTGTAAGGAAAGCCACTACAGGCTTCCAGAGCTCCAAATTCAATAGGTCAACGGGACTTTTCAGACAGCATCTGATTGTTCTCTCTCGAATTTCTTTTGGTCAACTTTAACTCCTCCTGCATTAAATTGCTTTACTTAAGAAAATGTTTAAAGTCTGTACAGAGAAAAATCCTTGGTTCTAATGTAACAAGAAGGCTACAGATTTATGAACTTCAAGTCAAAATAAGTGGAAATTCTAATCAGATTTCAAACAATATTCATGATAGCTCTCGGCCAAATGAATTATACGATTAGTTGCTGCACCATCTTGCTTGTAACGCCGAAATTTTATTCCGTCTCCTAGAAGTGAACTCATGCAAGATAAAATCAGACGCTTCTCGGGGAAAAAACAAGGTTTCTTCCTTTATCTCTGGTAGGAATTTCATTTGTTCTTGTCGCGCACTGTAGGGTGGCCATCGTCTACGAAGTGCACTTTTGTTTGTGCAGCGGTTTATTTGGGAGAGCCTGAAATTGGCACAAAGTGTGCATCTCTTAATGAATTCTTCCTCAGATTCGAAATTACTACCTCTCTGTGTACCCACGCCCCTCCCTCTTAGGCATACAAGATTGAACACACGTAGGAATTTTTTCATGGAAAAGGCTGATGCATCTTGTGTTTCAATTTTGATGTGCACTTCACTCAGGTGGACTGCGTTAACTCTTGCCCAGATCACCATCAGTCAAATATGCGATATGACAAATTGCGTGGTTGAGATCGATCCCCGTGAGTTAATTGTCTACTTTAGTAGAAGCATGACATTTGTTTGGAGGAAAGGACGTCTGAAGCGGTCTCGTAAGTTTGGGTTGTGAACGAACTCACTTATTTTATGGAGCCATTTTGCACATCTATTTGTTACGAGTAATGTGGGTGGAATTCCAACGCTTCAAAAGTAGTAATGCTAATTAAGGTTTCACAATCAGATTTTGATGCGTTTAGCTGACGTTTTGAGTCACTTTTGAGAGTGTAACGACCAAATTTTGATGACTTTTCAATCTCAAAACCATCACAGTTTTGGAAACGTGACAGTGAGATGCTGAGGTGATACATTTAAATGCTTCGAGCCATCTTTGTTTGTGAAAGAGATTGTAGAGCTTTAAATTTACTGCAGTACTCTTCAAGATGCAAGGATGCATTTTAAATGTCCAGAAGACGGCAGGACGCATGTGCTTACTGAGTCATTTTCTCCAGCATTAGTCCCTCACTAAAGAAAATGAAGGTAAACGATACCAAGCAACTACAAATGCAAACTACTAAAGGCGAATTTGTAAATAAACCATGATATAATGCCTCATTTTAGTCAGTAATGAATTTTCTTGCTTGATTTCTGATGAAGTTGTTTTGAAGAAGGCGCTTCAGACCTGTAGACAAGGCACTACATTTGTTGATCTTGAAAACGCTCAAGTCGTTGTAGTGGTTTCCATTAGGGCTGCTCATTCAATCTACGACAATGAAACAGACCCTCAGCGTCAATTGAAGGGAACGAGAGGCTCAGTTTCGCCAAATAGTTGTTCAAATTGGTTCGAAGTGAACCATCGAATAAATTTTTGTCAAAAGGTTTAAGCGTGAGGCAAAGTTAGGTTTCAGGATGGGAAGTGTTTGGAGAGGGATTGATACTCACTTAACAGTACGTTGAGGAACTTGACCTGTTCACAGACTGCAGGGCAAAGATGCGAGGCTCAAAATATGCCCTGGCAAACCCTCTCTACGCCAATGCCAAACTCCTCCTCAAGGAAAGGATCGCAGGATGATAAAACTACAGTGGCCGTGTGAACTTACCTATCGTTTGGTAAAGTACGTAATGCCATAGACACCAGGGCCTGTTTCCATACGGAGACGCAGTCAGCAAAACTGTCTACAATATTTTATGTCGCCTTTAAAGAAGTGTTTACAAGCGTTTTTAAGGAGCTGAAAATCGGAGCAACTAGACTCAGAAGTATCAATGGAAGGTTACATGAATGTACATTATGGGCTTTCTTGTCTTCTTTGAGCATCAGCACCAAGCCTTTATGCTGATGCGTCTTGGCAAAGACCACAAGATACTACTAGGAGCTAAATCAAGAATTTTATTTGACTTACCAGGTCAAATGCAACGTGCGAGAACTAAGAAGATTGACTAAAAATTGAGCAATTTTCTTGAAAGGGCCCAAAATCATGCCACTTTTGCTTTGATTTCATCCAAGGTGCTGTCTTAGCTGGCGCCTTTTCCGATTGTCTGTTGGAGAGTGCGGCAGCAAGAGCAAAAGCAGTTTTGAAATCTTCATACACCTTTACATTATTCACGGTAAATCGGATCGTACATCTAAGGGTCAACTTACGCTGTTCATAGAGAAGAGGATTACAATGGAGTACTTAAGTGTCTTCAGGTGATGATGATTGAACAGAGGTATGCGAATTCAGCCTCTTCAACACCACTTAGTCTATCAAATACTCGTCATTCACTCTGAAGCGACTTACTCATTTGCCAAAGCGTGCAAGAGATTCAAGAGGACACACAAGATGGCACAGGCTCATAGGCGTTGCACCCTCACAAGACATAACACAGCATTAATTATTGCAATGCCAAACTACGCGAGTGATGAAACGCGACTTAACACGTCTTAAACCAATTTTCGCCACTACCCTGCACCTCTGACATGGAATGCATGACGCGACTTACTACGAAGTAAGTAGACGGGGTCATACCCTTTTTTATAAAAAGGCCTCGCAAGTATGGCCAAATTAGGTGAGCCAAACAAGTACGCCCCTTCAAACGCTCTCCTTTCCTAGCCCTGCTATTTTGCTGTGTATGCTATTCTCGAAGCAGATAAACACTGCAGTCAGAATGCAACAAGGAAATAAGACTGTCTTTAGCTTAAGTAAAGGATCATGACGCGTTCTCCTAAAACTGGGACGAACTTATTATTCGGAGCATGTGCGAAGCCGTATAAATTTAATTTGATTTTATTTTAAAACATATTACTGGGGCACAGAGAAAAAGTTTGGTCGATCCGCTGAATGTTCCAATATTACTAGATAATCTATAAATGTTGGCATTTAAAAGAGCAGAGCATGAGGTGATGGAGATGGAAGAATGCTCTTGTGCGCATTCTAGCTCTATAAACTGTCACGCATTCCCAACCATTGAAGGCTAAAATGGGGAAGTAGTATGAGAACAGTCATGCTTATTAATGGGAAGGTGTGTCAGAAGGAGTAGTAGCACATTACTGGGCGCGCGGTTGGGTTACACGAGTCCACTTCGGGCTACGCGAACATAAATGAGGTTAGGAGAAGGCAGCAACGACGTGGTGGTTAGAATGATAGAGTTGTGTGCGTGTGTTTGTGCGTGCGTCTTAGAGAAGAGGGAGGAAATAGTGCCACATTTCTAAATGCACGGAATCCTGGCGTTCTGCGATGCACGTAACTAAAACTGAGAAGGGCAGTTTGTGGCGCTTTAAATGGGAGGGAAACATGAGACAATTTCTGCAGACGGAGTGTTACGACTGGTGAAATTTGCTCCTCTCCCACTAAAATGAATTAAAATTGTAACACGTGCAATAAAGACAAAGAAACAATCATAAGCAAAAGCATCAAAAAGTACATGAATTGATGCCGTTTAATGGGCAAAACACTTCAATATATTTGCCACCTATTATGCACTCCAGTGTGACTTTAATCCACGGTTCTAACTACCTTTCTTTATTTTTATCTCCTCCTGCGGATAAATTCAGTCATGGCACTAAAAAAGGGTGTTGGTACTACATTTTCTCAAATTGCTTTATATCCCTCGTTGATTAAAAAAAATTCTAAGAAGCATCTGAAATTGTGCTCACTTCTCTCCCACTAATTACTCTGCGCTTGAAATAATTCTTTCTCTCACACTTCTAGTGACTAGCGTGTTCGATTCAAAGGGCAAGTGCAACATGGTCTTTAAAAATGGCTAGAGCTTGTTTAACACTCCTCTCAAGTTGATTTAAAGATATTAACCATAGGGAAGACCAAAACGCTGCCATCACTTAGCGGGCATAGCCTGTATTGCACCCCGTACCACTAAGAGTTGGACAACTAATAAAAATGAATTCTCAAAAGGTGCGTAGCACTTTTGGGGGGTGCTGTCAAAGGACTAAATAATAGATTACCTCAACAGGGATTAGGCTACTTAGGACTCTAGCCTATATCCTATTTATGGTGGCCTACGTTACAGGCACGCTAGATTCTTTGTTACTATCGGCTGTATCGTACCACTACTAAATTATTCAGGTAAGTTTTGACAGGGGAGAACTGCTCTTAGCAAAAAACCTGCCAAAGTGGAAAGCAATCGAAATATGGCTACTTACAACTAAATTCGAAATTCGGCTGCTGAATAATAAACTATGATAGCATAGTCATAAAGTTGATCCTACCGCACTTGAGCTCGTTTCTTCAGTGGCTAGTCAAATATAGAGGAAACTTTTGCAATATCTCTCCAGCAAAACGACAGACAAATTAAGGAGTCCGATCCATCGGAGAGTGTCTGGCACCCCCTTATTTGGTGACCATCATTGCCAAAATTTGCAAGCATCAACTGCCACCAAAATACATTTGTACTTTTAGTGTGTAAGTAGCATTCCTATTAAGAAAAAATCTTAAGTATTTTTCATGAAAAAATTTATTCTTAACTAAGCTTTGATCATCGCACTTTATCCGTGGAAAATCGGGTGGGAAATCGGACAAATGAATTAACAAAGATCAGGCCCTACCTACTACATTAGGAAGTGTGGGATCTGCACTGACCTCAATGGAATTCAATTTGCTTATAGGACTTACATCATTAAATTTTCCGATCCTGGTCTCGTGTTGGCCAATTATACTTCCCTAAAGAGGAGAGAACACAATACAAAAGCGTCTGAAGCATATATAAATGATGCATTTTACATTCCCATACAGTCTATGCATAAAAAGTTGTCACTTAAATTTTGTTGACACCTTTTCTAAATTTTGCCAATACAACTAAATGTCTATAGGTGGCGGGAACATCTTTCAGTTCTTTTAAGTGGGAACCTTTGGAAATGATGAACAGAGTAAGTAAAGGGTTGGATTTGCTTTCTAAATACAAATGCGGGGTTGCCCTCATGTACCCACGAAGTCACCCCCACTCAGCAACCAGTTCGATGGAACTCACGACTGGGTCTTCTGTAATCCGCTACGCATTGCTGGCTCCCGTTTACTGGTCGGTACCCTCTGTAACATCTGCACTCGTAGTTCCCACGACCAAGGTTAATGCAGAAGCCGCCCATGCACTTTCTCTTAACTGCGATGTCCTCACAGGGATTTGGATAGTTTACCCTTGAAGATGGTTGCCACCTTGTTTCACCTGTCTGTGGTTTTGCTAATTGAAAAGAAAACAGTGTCAGAGCCACTAGCCTTTGCATTTGTTTTGTGAACTTCGTTCAGTGACTTAGGGGAACCTATCCCTGTCTACTGCTTTATGGCTCCCAATTGAGGCCAATCCAGATAGCGAAGGACAGAAGCGAAGCGTACCGTAATGGCATTTAAATGAAGAGCACTTTTCACAAATGGAGGAGCATCATTTATGAGAGCGACGCCTATCATCAATTTTTTTCTATAGATGATAATCAGGAGGGAGAGTAAAAATCCACACTTGCATGTTTATTCACACTTGTAGGTTATTGTCGTCAAAGTAGACTATTGCAAATTTACTAAAATCGGTCACATCATAGTTGTTCTCAGAAGTATGGAAAGTGGACTAGGAAACCCATGTTTAAAATTTCAACGGTTTTACTAGAAATGGAAGAAGGTATGCAATGGGCGTGCGTTGAAGGGCAGAATCTGACTTGTAAGTTAAACAAACCACTCTGATAAGCCCTGTTCTCCTGCGGCCAATCTGCCTGATAAGAGGCGCGGTAGTTGTTTCCGGTGTTCAAGGGCTCGCGTTTCGATGCTAAATGAATGAATCCAAAAGACCATATTAATACACGTTAAAGGAAGCGGCGAAGTCGACAAGTTTTTTTGGATTGATAGATCAACGTTTTGTCTCGGTAGTTTTGGAATACCGGAAGACTAACTTGCTGTGCATTTCTGCCGTACTGTGAAGTGGGTTTGCTTGGTTGGATTTGGTCCATGAAACATTTGCGCTTAATGGAGTGTGGCAGAATGTCTCGGTGAATCACACTGCTATTGCCAGCACATGCAGAATGCGCAAGAGGCGATTTGAATAACAGACCAACATTTAAACACGTCCACCTATCGTGATTAAATGCAAACTCTATGTCTTCTCGTGACTTTACCATCTCATCAGGTGTTGAAACTACTTGAAGTAGCAAAAAAGACAATGTGTGATAAGTTAATTGGTTAGAAATGAAACAGCTTTTATTGAGTCCGGTACGATTCAGTTTTGCTTTAGCAGGAGCCTCTGGAGGTTATGTGTCCAACTACGGACAATGGGACAGCAATACGGGAACTCAGTCGGCCGCGAAACGGGCTGACAAGCTCTACGAACTGATGCAGAAAATTATCCTGCATACCTGCATCCTCAGCAAAGGTCTCTTTCCTTAAAGCATCTTCCCAAAGACGCCTCTACGAAATTCAGCGGATAGATTTGTCTAAGCACTTCGACTGAAATAAATCATGAGAACGGTAAAGTTTGTTTTTGTTTATTTTTCTGTGCTTTGGAATTCCCAAGTATGTCATGACAACACATCAAACGACTGGCAAACCTTATTACAGTCTGTTGTGCTAAATTTCTAAAGACATTTTAAAAAATGGTAAGTTGGCACATTCTTGAATGGTGCGAAGCGTCCTCTAGCCAGCGCCATAGCGGTGCGTGGTAGCCCTCGTCGCTATCAAATGACCAAGCCATGGGGAATCCTGCATTTTGTCCTTAACTGGGAAGAAAATTTGGTTTGCAGTAGACGAAGTGGATGAAAATATTATTTCATACAAAAATAAGAAAAATGCGAATGATTACGACAAAGCATGGAACGTATATACAAAGTTACTCGGTAATGACATTTCTTGTGCCCTTTTTCGCTAGGCAAAAGCAAATCGCTAAATGATTTGTGCATTCATTCTTCTTAAATGTCTGTGCAAAGTGAATCTTTTTGCTTACTTTGGAAGGGGTTCAACTGCATCAGACAGCTTTTTCTGTCCGGAGAAGGTTGGTAACCATAGTGGCAGCGGCAACCATAATCTCCGTAGGGGCGTGGGACACAGAATCCGTTCTGACAAACGGATGGGCCTAGTTGTTGGCACTTATCTAAACAAAGTGTGTCTTAGTTGGCTAAAAGTTTAAGTTGTAACGGCGATACCGCTAAGTCCATCAGTTTGATCGAGTCGTTAAAGTAAAAAGCCTTCAAGGGTTTAAACATAGTAGAAAGGCTCCACAATCTGGTTGGAACCTTACGAGGGGAAAGCTTTAAAGTGCGCACTTCAGAGGCTGCTCGAAGTGTGTTTTGGGTAAGCGTTCCAAAATCCCTTTAAGCCTCGAACGCATAAGGAGGCCCCAACTCCCGCTGAGCTGCTCTTCCAAAATGATCGCAGGGTGAGAGGCTGAATGCATGTTCCATGTTTCAAAATGAGACTCGGAATCGTCATTATAACTCAACTTGTGTTAAGTAGTTCTGAACATAAGGCCAAAACACAGGCTGATAATGACAACCATTTCATTGTGAAAAAGTAAAGGTCAGCTGATTATGCAGTGAGTGTCTGACCTTCATCTTGGTGTGGAATTATTTCATTCATATAAAAATTGTGTTGAAGGTGTTGGTGAGAGAGGAGCAAGGCGTAGCCTACCGAGGCATGCAGTTCCGTCACCGGAGAGGACGTAGCCGGGATTGCAAATGCAGCGGAAACTTCGGTCGACCGGAATGCATTGACCGTTGGTGCAAACGCTGTTTCCATAAAGTGTACAGGCGTTGAATTCCTCTGTTCAAACAAAAAGACAGTTTTTCTAGTCAAGGGAATAGTCCTTTTATACTGAACACTCGTTAATGTTGGTCACTTAAGTATAGATGCGAAACTACAATGATGGAAAACAGATGGGGGTGATGAAAATGGTGCATGAATTTTGGGAGGGACAACGACTTTTGCCTCTATTTTATCGTTTCATATGCTATTTGTTGTAACAATAAATATGTTTCTTACTGATGCATTGCTTTTTGAATCGACTCGGCACATAACCGGGATTGCAAGTACATTCGTAGGAGGAGGCTGTTGGATGGCATTCTCCGTTTTTGCAGAGTCGCCCCTCAAATATTTCGCAGTAATTCAATGCCACCTCTTCCTTACGACCTATTGTAGATGCAAATTTAGTTTTGTCTACCTTTTCGTGAGACACATTCATTTATCAACATAAATGGCCTGATATTAACGCTAATGAAGTGATCTGTGGGATTTGTAAATGCACCAAACTGTGGGAATTAGACTCTTGCATCACTTAGCTGAGCTTGTTCCACCGTTAAGCCAAATACTCTCTCTCTCTCTTTTTCTCGCTCGCGCGCTCTCTCTCTCTTCAATTCCAATGCATGTAATATGAGCTCACATCGCGTATTTCCGTCGGTGGCAACGTAGCCGGGATCGCACTGGCAGATGTAAGCCGTGCCATGCAGAGGTATGCAGCGCCCGCCGGGAGTACACGCCTCCGGGTTCTTCTGGCACCCGTCTGTAAGGTTGATGGGTATCCGACTAAGCACGCAAGAACTGCAGACTCACTCTTAATTAGGCAATGTTAACAGCGCATGCAGCCTAACATCGGTCAGGCTAAGCAAATTAGCCACCACAGTTAAAACGACTTACCTGTCACTGTGACACCCAAAATAATGACACTTTTGTAATTAAAATGCACGTGTCTATGCAAAAGCTTTCTTTGAAAGGGTGCAAAATATCTCCACTCTTTACTCGTAATTTGGGATTCCGCTTCACTCAGAATAGCGAAATTGCAATCGAATGAGGAAACATGATTTTACAAGCAAACTTTACTTGCCATTTGCATACTCGGACGACTGCCTACTAGTTTATTTTTTGAAGTGAATGTCATGGATAGATGAAGTCCATTCTCTTCCCTTATCCATAAACATTACATTTAATTATCCTGACAAACTGGGGCCTTGTCCAAATGCCTCACTAGTTACTGTCATTTAAAGATTAAGTGAAAAGAAATTCTTACAATTTTCTCAATACTCGACTTATTTTATGGTTGTGTGAAGCATCGCAAAAACTTGAATGATGAATGGAAATTTAATGAAGGACAAAATTCTCTTCATTCACAAAAAATCGTTGATCACTTCAATATTCATTCAGCCAATTTCACCAAATGCTCCCACTTGGGCCACTTGTTTCGGCTGTACCTGTGGGCATTGTGAGAGTCGCAGTCTCGCACACGCCCTCCTGCTTGGCTCATAACCTCTTAAACGCCAAGGTTGGTCAGTCATCCAGTCACTACAATTGGGCGTACCTAGAACTGTCAAATTACGTGGACTCACCTCCAAATGGTCTACTTTATGGTCACCACACTGGTCATAGCCCTTTGCGTGAACAATCTGGCCATTATTAAAGACTTCCGCCTTGGAGGCGTTATCTATTGCCCATCTGGTCGGTCGGTGGCCTCATTAGGGTTTGGACGACGCGCGCCCACGCAGCACTTGATTACAGCGACCGGCGACCCAGTTTATAGCAGTTGGTGACACATTTTATGGTGAACTACATTATTCAAAATTATTCTGAGACGCTAATGTTATTATCTGTGTAAGAGAGTGCTCCGACGCAAGCCAATCGGTCACCTCCATCTTTAATAGTACCTTTAGCAAGTGAATAAACAAACGAAACCTTGTAGACACATGGGACAACTTACTTAAAATGGGGCGGCATTGTACCGTTGTTTTATCGTAGACATGCCCATAAGGACAATCACACCTGCAAAGAAAATGTTTTATAACACACATTCCACTGAGAGCGGTAGACGATGGCGTGTCAGTTAGCAGTCAAAGGTGTTGACAACGGATAAGGTTTTCACCCTCATGAACACCCGCGTTTAAGTGGATGGTGGAAAACTTGAGAGAAAAGACACATTTGGAAAGCTAACAATAGAATTGATGTTTCTGCATTCATCTCTTGTTCTCCGTCGGAGCTATTTTTATTTTCTAGTGTTATTTATAAGAAGTTTTTTCAATCCTGATCACTCTGACGCCGTAATCGCTTGTTGATGGAGATTGCGGGAATTAGTGCCAGAATAATTTTTCAAAGGGAATGAAAACATACTCAAATGAACCGTCTGTGTTGCGACAGATGCCGCCCATACACACGTTTGGGATTTCGCATTCATTTATATCTGAAAATCAAGCACGGATTTCATGAGTTTTGTGCCGCTTTCTGCACGCAAATGTTCCTACACCATCCTTTAACGTTTATTATCGGCAAGTAGTTGGACAAAAGAAGGCTTCAACTATATCTAAAACGCGGGTTCTTTATCACCCGCCTGACTGTGCACATTTCCCACTTATAAGGTGAGGGAAGCACTGAAGTGGGTTTTTTTCCCAAAAGACGTCTGCTGTTGACTAGAATTAATGATACAATGCCAAAACAAAGCCCACAACTTTTGACCAGCCAAGTAACAAACGATTAAGCGAATTTTAAGGAAACTACGTCAGCGTATTTGACTTTTATAAAGTGTCAACTTTTGCAGGCTTTGTTTATTCAAAATTCTGCTTTCATAAGACAGCTATTTTAGCAAGAAATGCATCTAGAAACCTGACTCACCGACACACTTGTGGTCCAGGCGTATGTAGCCCTTGCCACAGTAGGAGCTCTGACTGCTGCAACCTTGGCATAGAGCGCCCCATGCAACTCCAATGCTTCCGCAGCAGGCATTCCTTGTCAGCATTACGGTCTCATTTCCAGGACCTGTCACCTTGTTCTTGCAAACACCTCGCTCCGTCTGAATGAAACACGGTCCCACCTCCTCCTCTGAATTTCAATACCAAGCAATTGTAGGCTCCTCATTACTTCTCTTAGCAGATCTTTTAGGCCAAACAACTAAGGTATTGAAGTCGGTACAGCATTATTGGAACAATTTTGCTTGACGATAGGAATCTTCGCTGATAAGTTACCTCTCCATTACATGTGCGCAATTTGAGACGTTGTGATGCTTGTGTGCATGAAGAAGGTAGCAAACTTCAAAATTGAAGGCCCCTTTCCTCATTCATTATCTGTCACAAAGTGGATCGCACCCCACCACCTCTGATGCGATGCAAAACTGACCTCTGCCACAGCAGCGAAAGCACACAGGCACCACCTCCCTTGCACTTGCACAATGGAGCGAGATAAAGAATAGTCAGAACATCATTTTGAATTTTTGATACTGTATCAACCCTTCATCCATTCGCTTCACAAGTGCTGCTTGTTCCCACATTTTAGCAATTATTCGGAGGCAGAAAGTTAACATACTTATTAATAGCCATCATGAAGTGAATACAAGGAATGCGCATCCGTGCCAACACACGCAATGCTTTTTCTCGGTGGCCAAAGTGGGTTATAAAGGTGCGCTGGGCCCTTCAAATGCAACATTTGCATTGAGATATTGACCTTGTTTTGCGCCATAATTTACCTGTCACCGATTTCGAAGCAAACCGGTGACCTTTCCCCATCAGCTACTTTGGGGATATTTTCATCGCTGACAAATACCAAGGTGTACTCGGACGACATTTTTACCAGAACTTTTAAACTTGACCAGATTCCACCACTTACCATCGCATGCACTTCCTTTGAAGCCGAAATCACAGACGCATTTCCCGTTGACGCAACTGCCTTGGTTGTTGCAGTTTGATGGACATCGAACTAAAGTGACACAAAAAAGGTGATTTAGGCTCCCGCATTTAAATTTTATGAGTGATTGAAAAACCTTTATTTGTGCTTCACACTAACACAAGCGACACTATTCTAGCCACATCATGTTTACCACGTCGAATGCTGATTGCAATTTTTTGGCTGCGGTCAGTAGAATGCAACAACTTTATATTTAATGATGGTCCGGTCAACTGCAGGACTTGGCGCCAAAGCACTGGCACTAAGTAACTTGGGAGATGACAGCAACATCAGTTCTTAAAAGGCAGAACGTTGTTTGTTAAATGAAAAACATTTCCGTAAGGCGTTAGAAAATGCGGTTAGGACCTGTGCAAATTCTAGGACTAACCAAGTATAAGCCTGAACTAGGAAAAGCAATTCTTCCTTCCAATACAGAAGGCTGACGAATTATTATTACCGAATAGGCGGTAAAAATTTGTGTCACTTGTCGCCAATTGTAGAGGTTGTCGGAAGTCGTCATCATGTTCGTTGCTAGGACTACTGCTTGGTGTAGGTAGATGCTCAAATCAGCCTGGAAGCCAAAATCTCAGTTAAGATGCCATTATTAACGAAAAACCTTGTCCTTTCTTAGATACTTCCTTCTGTTATTTAAAATAATTTTTATTAAAACCCTTTTTGCCCCGGTATTTGCCCTACTGCCATTACTTAAGCATAATGTAATCGCTCACTGGATGTGCCAAGGCATTTAATTACCGTGCATTTGTTGCTAAGAATTTGTGTCACAATGGGCCACATTCTGAACGCTCGCCTCCATTATTAAACGCTTTGTGCACTTTCCGATCGCCAGCACAAATCCACTTTGGGTCCGTCAACTCCTCTTTGGGGACAAGCAAAAGACGCTGCCATGGTGGTAGTAATTTTCAACTGAATTTTGTGAGTTTAATACCGTTTTCAAGTAAAGTGGAGCTGATAAAGTTCCCACCTGATCGTCTTTGCTGCTCCCCAATGTATGTGTGTGCGTGCGATGTTGAAAGCCTCGACTTACCTTTTCAATGATAATCTAAACAAACACGAATTGAGTCTAGCACTTTTGACTCTGCATTGTATGTGGAATGCGGTGGACAAAATTGCCTCCCCTTTTGTCCATTTTTAGTTCACAGTGGAGCAGGCAGTGATGTACTGTGTTTTGTTTCTATTTTCGAATCTCCTGGACATGGAGAACGCTCCACTTTTCTGTACCACTTGAAAGTAAAGCACTGTAGCTGCCATTATTACAACCCATAAAAGAGTATTAATGGGCATGTAAATAATGCCGCAATTGAGAGGCACGCATTACTTTGGTCTCGTAGGATTGTGTGGTTTAAAGCATTTCCCTAACCAGGCAAAAACAATGCTGTCTAAATGCAAGACTGATTTGCTCCTTAAAATTCCTTCAGACCCCTTCCAAGCACCCTTCGCAAATCACAATCGCCAAATAAGCTGCTTTGTTTTCTTTTCTGGGGAAGAAGGATGTCTTGAAAGTCGGAGGGAACTTAGAGGAAATGTCTTTGGAAGAAAATTCACATGAATGCTTGCATATGGCATAGATGTGAGAATTGGAAAGGCATTCCATCGCCGCTCTGGGAATCACAGCCTTGTTCTTGGCTCCATTGTAATAAATGCAATTTGGATCAACATTTAAAACAGGGCACTTCTCCCTTTTCCTGAATCATAAAGTTTTATCTTTCAACTCCAAACAGCAGGAGCTTTTAGTCACACAATTTGTCTACTTTTAATTTGTCCGAAGAAACTGCAACTGCGTAAACACAAATTCGCTGGTGTGCATCAGACCTGTTTTCATTTTCCGACAGGAAGGTGGTGAAATGCTCCACACCTCCATACATTATTGGGGCATGAAGGAAATGTTAATCTTCCGTGGGAGGGCAGATAAATGTTGTGGGTGTTAGGCAATTAATGCAATGTTCCACTTATTAAATCACTTCCCAAGCAAAAGCCTTTCTTGACATATTTAGGACAACTGTATTTCATTGCCAGGAATTCGAAGCATTTAAAACAACTTCCATGTAAAATGGTGACCACCATCGTGCAAGACTTAGCGCTTTGAACTTATAAGGTAAAGGTTAATCAGGAAAGGGGAGAGATAATTTTCATTCCGACCCATCTTAAAGTTAACGCCTACTCGTGACGCCTTCAATGGCATTCGGGTTTATCGTTGTAACGAAGCGCTCAGCACTTTCTTGAGGGCCAAAGTGACTCCTTCTCACAGCCTTCTGAGGCAAAGAGCATTCCAATGGCTGCTGCCTCGGAGTTCCATCGTCGAGTTTGGTGCAAATACAAGGCATTGCCTTAGCCACATCAAAGCTGTTTACATGTGCCATATGTAACACACTGACATTTTCAGCATGTTGGATTTGGATGCATCACACAAACGACTGCCCAAAGGGGCATAAAGAGTGGTGACCTACTCGGTTCATCGGCCAGATAGCCATTGTCGTCCTCCACCAAACAGTCGTCTCTCACTCGGCCATCCTCGCATCTGCACTGGTTGGGCGCAATGCAACTGCCCCGATCGCCGCAATTTCCATCACAAATAGCTTAGCAATAAACGAAATAACATTTAAAAGGATAAAATTCAACTCCATCCTAAAGTTGGTGTGAGAAGCGGTGCAAAGACGCTTCCTTTCCTATGTGCAAAAGCATTCACCTTGCCGTACCGATCATGGATTGAGTGTATTTAGTTGAGAGGACTTTTGCTTTAAATAAGTTATCGGTTTGTTTTACCTGTAGTGCAGAGACCGTCCAGACTTTTAGTCCATCCTTTGCAGCAGAGAGTCAGTCCATAGAAGGTTCCGCAAACGTTGGGACCTCTTCTTAAAATATGCAAAAAGTGTTGTGTAAACATTTGCGCATTGGCGTTTAAAATGCCGGAGTGGTTTTCGGTTTACTGCAGGAATGATGCCAAAAGTTGGTCTTCAAAATTGAAAGCAAAATATAAACCCTTTGACCTAATCATGTCTGCCTGCCACCAAAACTTGTCTAACATGGTATTAAAAGAACTTTAAAATATAAACAGTTATGATGGGAATGCTGAAAAAGGGAATGGGCTGTCTGGATGTCAGCTTTGCAGTGCAAAATAGACCTCAAAGAACCGTAGTAAACAACTTTTACTTCACAATAACCGATGCCAAAGCGATCACATTCTAATCCCTGTAATGTTTCCGCTTTGAGGCCGAAGAGAAAGAGAATAAATTGTTTGACAGTTAAAGTGCCAAATTATTTTACGTACAGGCGTTTTGGCGGAGACTGTTTATTTAAACCTTGGCTTGGTGAGTTATAGCGCTGGGCATACGCAGTGGGCAATGCGTTCGCAATTAGTCTACGGTCCGTGGAATGCAGCAACTTTTATTAACTACCCTCTCGCATCTCTTTTAGAAGCTAAAAAACTGGAGTCAACCATATCACTTCATAATTTGACAATCTCTTGGAGGATGACCTTTTGAAAAGCAAGTGGAACGCTACTCATCCCATTTTGAAGGTTAAATTAAAATAAAGTGCGTTTTGACGATCTTCAAGAGCAGCTCTGGGTGCTTCCAATTTATCGCCTACTCAAACAATCCGATTTTTTTCTTGCCGATACTGACAGCCCGTATTGTACGGCATTTCTTTCCGCTCCTTCCTATTTCCTTTCGTCATAAGTTTTGGTCTGCTAAAATTTCGTAATTTCAAAACCCACAGTCCTGCATCGCAGAAAAGAATTATGCCTACATTAGTGAGGCACAATATGTGGGTGGAAACCCACAATTTTAAAAGAATTACACCGACTTGTTATTAGCTCTGGAATGCTTCCCACTAGATGACGATAATGCATGGCTGGTTTGGTAAACACCCACCGGCACTTTTTCAAGCATTCGTAAGTGGCGAAACTCCTTCACCTTATCATACCGCTCTTACCACAAGCAGTGGACGCTCTGACGCCTCCCAAATTGTAAATTTACAGAGGATTGTCGCGCGACCTCAGCACTATTGGGGCACACAATGACTCCTCCAGTTGGGTCAGACAGACTTCTTTTCATAATGATTTCTTCTACACTGCAATTTTCTTCCAAACTGCTATCCCGTTTAGTCATCAGTGCATGCGTCAACAAGCACGGTGAATTAGAAAATGAATACGTTTCGATGGAAACTGCTTCGAAGGTAAAAATGGTAAAAATTAATGAATGAAAAGGCTAGCTATGGGCACTCAGTTATATCTTTGACTTTAAGTCTCAGCGGCCTTTTAGTTAAAATGATTTCATCAAGCACAAAATTATTTTGGCTCTCTGCAAATCTCACATCATGTGTGGGTACAAACTGGCTGGGTCTTGGCAGACAGATACGCATGTAATTAGATTGATGGCCCGCCAATTACGATGACATCCCAGAAGAAAGCGCATCCATGATCGTCGACTCAGGAGGAGGGCAGGATTTTGTAGTAAATATTTACAAATCGTCATCTTCCACCTAACTTGGTGGATATGAGGTCTACATGTAAATGGGGAAGACGAGCCAAAATAGGTGATAAATGATGCGCCAGACAGACTGCAATGCATTTTGCTGAGGCAGTGTGTAAGAGCCAGAGAATTTTTATCATTGAAAATGCCACTCGCAGGCAAAAAAACTCGCGATTTGCATCTCCAATCGGGATGCCTTAGCGTGATTTTGACCCTTTTTCACACAACATTGTTATGCAGTCTGGACCGATTGGAGGCAATTCCAGGGAGAAGGCAGAATTTGATTACAGTTTTGCTTCATGCTTGCAAATCCCTCCTGGAATCGAAAAAGAGCGAGAAAACTATTCAAATTTTTTGTACCTCTCTGTCTGGCCAAGTTCCAGTAATCTGTCTCTGGAATCCTGAAAGCTGCATGAACGATTTGACAGGGCTAATGTTTGTTTGCATTCGAGCAGGGCAGACACGGAGCTCCCGCTTCCGCGTACTAAGGCGCATAACTCCTCGGGCTTGTGCACCATATTTCCTTATTAATATCGCCCGCCACAAAGGGTGACAGTGTGCTTTTATTATCTATTTGCCAATTTTTGGCGCTTATACATAGGAGGAATTCTGAACAGACCACCATGCACCATTGCTTTAACTAAAAGCGCCGTTTCGGTGTAATGATTGCTTGCAATTCGCTCCATGGTTTCCGGCAAGCAGTGCATCATTTTATATTTCGAATGTACATTTTCAACTCATTTATGCTGTATCACAAGCCCTAAATGCTTCGGCCACTCAAATTAATCGGATGCATTAAGTTGAACTATGCTTTGCCTGAAAAACGGAAATCTCTTCCAGCGAGGGAACATCTTCAGTGACATTTGCGGTAATCCCGTCTTTGGAGAATTGGCGCAAATGGTATCCATTCTGATGCTTCGATTTTTGCATGTCTGTTTGAGGTTGGCATTGCACCAGAAAATGGAAGACTGCTTTAACACGCCATTTGTTCCGAAAATATTAACTCTCGAGATTTTCGGCGATCTACACCACAAAATTCCTTCTTATAGGGTTAAAACACTAAATAGAAATTTAGGCTTTGTTCTTTACATACCGGAAATAGAAAAGCAACGTCACTTTTTACGACAATGCACTGCAATGAAGTGCGATAAACTTTGCAATTCTCGATCAAACAACGCCAGACCCACCCACATACCTTTCTGATTTCTCTTTCATTTATTGTTGCATACAATTAACTTTACTTGCAAAGATATTTTAAAACGAATTCCAAAGTTTTGAGCTTATTTTTTTGCTCTAAAAACGGGTGAGTGAGACTAATAAGGCGAGGAGGCAGTGGAAAGAAGTAACTTAAAAATTCTGCTTTGCTGGGCCGCTCTTGAGTCCTTAGATCTCAAAAGCAGGCGCGATTCATTAATTCACTTCGTCGGAAGCAACTGGCGGCACATTTATCATGAGTAAGACGGCGATGATACATGAGGTTTGCAATCCACACTGCCTCTCTCCAGGACGCGCAAACTCTCTCTTGATGCGAAAATCACGTAAATAACGCATTTGAAACAAACATTTTGCCTGCTTACATCTAGGCGGAGGGACTTGCAAAGTTACGCGCGTTTACGTGGCCATCAGGGCATCATACACGTCAAAATTAGGAAAAGTTTAAAATTAAGAAAATAGACCACGCTGAAATGTGGAAAACAAGTTGTTATGTCAACACTTAATATTAATTAATTTTCGTTGTCAAAAATGGAAATGGTCGTGCGTTTTATGTGCAACCACTAAACGATTTTAAAGGCATCTGAGAGAGAGGGAGAGAGAGAGTTCATTTAATGCAGCAAAAGGATTTCCTTTTGCACCAGAATGACCGATATGGCGGAGCACTTTCAGCCATCACTGTTGGAGTATCTGTATCACTAGCGAAAGAAGGCCTCGCAGGCAACGAGAGGTGTGTGTGCGCGGCGATGCCGTGGCTGCCTATTGACTGCTACCGCAACGGTTGAAGAGCTCAAAAGCCGAGTCCTCTACAAGGCACACTTGCGTATGCTCGTGGGCCCCATAAAATGACTTTATACCCAGCCAGAGAATAGCCTCTTAATGAACCTGAAGCGTCGCCGTAGCGCGAGTGGATTGTGAATTGGCAGCACTGTGACGACAAAAGTTCTCCGGTATAGTGACATTCTGGTTAACAGATACTGGCACGCATATTTATTGTTTGTGTAATGTCAAGTGTCTATTTACTTGCCTACTTTGTCGACTCTTTTTCTGCTAAACTCAGTATTTCTCCTGGTATTGTCATTTTGAGGGATAATGAAAGGACTTCATTTTGCGTACCATCCACAAAGAGCATTTTGGTGAGATGATGTTTCATACTCATGGTCATAAATCTACACTACAAATTTTAATTAATTTCCTCGCAAACTCAACAACTTAAATAGTAGAGTAAGTGCCTAATGCAAATCCATAGACTTACGCCCAGCATCAGATGGATGGATGGATTTAGCAGAAGGATGTTGTGACTTATCATTTGCAAGCTGGTATTGTTTCTGACATTAGGGAAATATCTATGGATGGACTTTAAAAAGATGTGCTTTGAATGCCAGTTTGGAAGGATGATATGATGTAATGTTAAAACAAGTTCTAGTAAACAATTTGCGTTGGTGAAGCAGTAGGAACGTTTGCCACTTCAAAGTACACCATGCACAATTTAGGTTTCATTTTTGACATAACAGCACAATTATTTAAACTGCAAAATTATTATGCCATTTTCAGTGATACTATAAAGGCAATGAGACCATTTATACAAACGACTGTTGCATGCAATCTCACAAAATTTGTTCTTGGACAAATACAGGCAGTCATGTTCTTACGATACAAGTCATGCCATCAATTTTCCTTTACTGCACTGCAGCGACCGTTATTAGTTTGCTACGAGTTACTTACGAATATTCGCCTACTACTATTC